AGTCCCTTCCTCTGGTTTTGCTCTCTACCTCCGAGCTCTTAATTTGCGCTCCGAGTCTTTCCCACCCTCCTCTTTTCCCTCCTTTCCTTCTCTCTTTCTCGCTTCACCTGCCGCGGTCCTTCTCCCCCTCTCTTTCTCTTCTACTGCCCCTATCTCTTCCAGTCCACCTTAACTCAAGCTCCGCCCCCGACCCCCATCCAGCCCTCCACCGCTCCTCTGCCCCGCCCCCTGCACTCCACCGCCCAGTCCGCGCATTGGCCTGAATACACGCTCTTCTCCAGTGGGTCCCGCCTTGCGCTTAGGAAGGGAGGGGGCGGAGCCGAGGGGCTGGCCTGAAACCTGGAGGAGGGGAAGGGGGAGGGGGCAGTGTCCACCGTGGCCGGGGAACTGAGCACCCCCATCAGGGCTCTCACTCTCCCAAGAGGGCTTCTCTATGATCACCACCTCCGGAGGGAAGGGTGTGAGAGTTGAAGAATAAACTAGGTGGTAGTCCGATGGGGACTTAGGGTCTTGCGGGAAGGGGTTCCGTGAAGGGCCATAATCAGGTCAGGGCCGCGGGAGGGAGGGGGAGGGGAGCCAACAGGCCGTCAGCTCCGGTCCCTGCGCCCCTCCCCCTCTGAGGGAGCGGAGGAGTCGAGGCTGCGGACACACAGAGTCCCTCCCCACGCGTGACGGAGCCCCGCGCGGAGGGCAAGCAGCCTCTGCGCTCCAGCCGGTGCCCGCTGTGGCCTTGGCATTGTCAGAGGGGAGGGGCCCGGGTCTGAGGGGGAGTTGGGAGAGGGAGGCGGGTTCACGCTTCTGTACCCCGCCTTCGTCTCGCTTGCACCCTAAGCAGAGAAACTGAGTCTCCGTGAAGTAGCGATGTCTTGACTTGGATTCGTTCAGACTTAGGAGCGAAGGGAGCCTGAATGTGTTAGGATGCATGTGTGTGTATGTTGGGGGCAACGAGACACGTACTTAAGTGCTGTCCCCTAAGTGTGGCAGGTAGCCCGAGGGACGCTTCCAACCGGGCCTGCGGCGCTACGTACCCCAAAGGGTCCCTCCCACTGGTGTCAAACGGAATCAAATCCGGCTACCTCGGGCCAGGTTCTGCTCTCTCGGGCCGACTGGGACGAACCGGGTAGGACTTGCTTTCCCTTCCCCACCCCCTCCGTAGCCCCCCCCCC